CGCTCTTCCCCTACTTTGAACCATTGCTCTAAAGGCAACATTCTCTTCCCATTGACTTTGGAGGAAGATAGTCTTCACTAAGCTAAATTTAGCCTTGAATAACACCAAAGTTGTATTTTTTCCACACTTTCTTGGCTTGCTGCAACTGTTTCTAGGGATTCTGATGTCATGCACAGTGTTTACTGTAAATGCTCAGCTAGCTCTAAAATATGATTTGTAATTTTAAATTACTTTTATAAAACAGGGGATCAGAGGGCAGTGGTGTCATACCTGATATCAAACCACATTTTGTTTTTGTACCACATTGAAGACATTAATTGCACAAATTCTTGAAGTGATTTTACTTGCTGTGCTACGTGGCTATGTTTATGTGGCTACAAAATGAACCTTGAAATCATTCCAGACATAGGTTCATTAGTTATTTTGAAGGAACCTTGCATCAACAGCTATAAAAAGAAGGGAGAGGTGCTGACTCTGTGCTGGAATCCCAAACACTGTTCCTGAAGATGTGGCATTATTTAAGTGGGTTTTTTTTAGTACACAAGCTGTACTTACTGCTATGTGGCTTGCCTGCTGTGACACTGGAACAGCTTTTTGTTTTATTATTAATGTTGAAGTCTCCTGTGTTCCGTTTTATTTTTCCTTTTTCTAGAGCCTGACTTTGCTTTGGTGTTTGTTTATCACAGCTGGAAGAGGGCAGGAAGGGGGAAATCCATCCGCTGTACTGAGCATGCCACAGAGAGTTTGTTCTCCTTCCAGGGATTGTACTGGGACCTCCATAGTGCCAGTATATAGGACAGAGTGTTTTTTGTAGTTTGCAAAGAAGAATGCTCTGTTGATTGATAAATTCTAGTAGGGCTGGTCTTTTCTGTAATTTAGTCGTGTGCAACAAAAGCGGGAAGAATGTGAATTCTCTGTGTAGAAATGATGTTGTTTTCTAAGGTGAAAACTGAGAACAATAGGGTGTTAGAGTGCTTTAAAGAAGTGGAAAGACTATAGTTTGGGGTTCTGTTTAGCCACTTGATTGAAATGGAGGAATTTGTATTAAAAGTTCATTATATGGTTGAGACAGGAACAGGCTGGTTGCAAAGATTTTGTCCTCTTATTTTGTGTTTTTTTCCAAATCAGAATAGTATTTCAGGGCAAAACAGTAGTGAGAATGTATAAGATAATTACTTCATTGTTTAATTTTTTTTTTTTCAGTTGGTACTTGCAGTTAGCTGCCTGACAAAATAGCAACAAGTCCAGTTTCTTGAGTTAATAAAGTGGTAATTAAAGCTTCTAAGTAATGATTGCATCTTTTGATCTTGATCAAGCAGTTAATAAATTGTCACCTTGTTGATGTGGACACTCTGTGATTTGGGTTTCTTTTTCTGACACCCTCCTAAAC